ATTATGCCAGATAGGTGTTGAAAAATTAGTGTGAGTAGCCAGATTATACATGTTATTACATTATAAAAAATAAAGAAGTTTGAATTTGATAAAGAGAGATTAAGAGTTATTAGTTGCATTAAAGTCTTTAATAACAATGGGTAGTATATTTTTATGCTCTGCTTCTTGCATTCATTTTATAATAATGTTTTAGGCTACAAGTCTGAGTTGTAAATTATTATATAAAAGATAGGTAGATATAATATAAAATTTAAAATTATATTTAAAAAATAGATCAATTGCAATTGCATAATTATAAAATTAAAGAATGTTGTATATATAAGATTTAAGGTAATTTTGTATTATAATTGCAGTTCCAGCTTTAGAGTTACTGCAACATGACCAATAATAGGAATAATGTAAAGATTTTTGTAATTTTATAGTTGCATTATTTTGAAATATTTTTGTTTAGTTATACTAATAAAGTTTAAATTATGGAATAGACAGTAGTTTTTTTAAACTTGCTGTTTAAGACCTTTATTATATCTTTTTATATTATGTATATATATTTTTAAAGATAAAAGTTGATAGGATATAATTAATAGATTGAAAAAATGAGAAATACTATGAAAACATGAGGTTTTATTAGTTTTATTACTGAGATCAAATATAAAGAATAAATGAAAGTTGTTTAGAAGTACTGGTATAGAAAAGACTGATATTGATGTATTTAATTTTAGTTAAATGTTTAGATAATATCAGATGGCTTGAACTGGTAAGATGAAGTGATTAGATAGAGGTTTAGGTTCAAATAAAAGATAAACATGAGCTTCACTATAGTTATTTTTAATAAAAATAATTAATATATAGACACAAAAATTATCTAATTAGTCAAAGTTGTAAAAATGTTATAGGAAAGAAATAATTGTTTGTAAATAAGAAAGCAGTAGAAGGTTATTATATAATAAAATTTGTTATAATAGATATTATGTTAAATATTGTTATAATATAGTTTAGATATTGTAGTATTATTATAACCATTTAAGATAATATTTACTAGTTGAAAATAGTTATAATTGAGTTTATTATTTTTAATAAATAAGTTAGTATCTGATATATTATTGTTTGTTAAAGAGAATTTAGAAGGAATAGGTATAGATAGATAGTAAGTATAACCTAATAGTTGTAGAAAAAAGTATTCAGATAAGGGTTAATACTTATATGATAAGTGTATGTAACATTTACTATAGTCAAGTTTTATTAATATTTTAAGTATATACTTAAAGTTGTTATATTGAGAGAAGTTATAGTGATAAATATGTTCCAAGATAAAGTTGAGAATTTGTAAATATGGAAAAAAAAATAGATTAAGCATGCTAAACATTAATTATAGTATAAATCTGAATTGTATAATGTATTGTAAAATGGATTTTGTAATGCTTTTTTGATATGAGATAATGAAATAGAGTTCAAGAAATAAAACATTCTTCTGTAGTTTTACTCACTATATGCTTGGCTCTTACAGCTACAAAGAGTGCCATAGTCTAAATTATGATGTTTATAATTTAAAATTTTATATATAAAACATATAACATTTGTAAATTTTGATTTTAAAAATTAATTTAAAATTTAAAAAATTTTTTCAAACAAAACTTACTTTAAATTATTAAAGCAATAATATTATATTTTAAAGACAATATAAAATAAAAAAATTATTTTATAAAAATATATAAGTTTTATCATAATATAAAACTTACAATTAAATTTTACAAAATTTATATAGTAAAAACATAATAAAATTTTAAATTTTAAAATTATTAAAAATTTAAAATTAACCTACTTTAAAATTATTTGACAGAAATATCTCTAATCATTACTATTTTTAATTATATGTGTTCATGTTTGGTTTGTTGATTGGCTTATTGCCAACTTAGGCATTGCCAAATTTTCTTTTTAATTAGAAAGAAAATAATCACTATGAGATAATTTTATATTAATGTATGTATTTATTAAATTAATATATATTATATGCTATGCTATATATGCAGTATGTTCTAATTTAATCTTTCTAAATTTTTTTATTATTCATGAGATATTTATACTTATTTTTTTGAGTTGTTATATGTATGTTAACTGATGTATCAGATCTGGTTTTGACATGTTTGATAGCTAATGATTGATGCTAATCTAACTGCTATTCTGAAATTTTTACTATTAGACTAAATTAGAATTCAAAATAAAATGTATAATAAAGTTAAGACAATAATAGCCAAGAACTAACTCTAATACTGATAGTAAACTTTTTTTAGAATGGTCATGCTGGGATCTTGTACTAGTCTTATTATTGTTGCTAATAGTTTACAATTATTAAAGTTTCTTTTGATGCTGTTGTTTAAAATTTTGATTATAACAATTGAGTATAACATGATTTGCCTAATTGTAAATATTATATTATTCTCTGTTCTAGTATTAACTATTTGATTTTAGTTGCTGAGCGATATTGTTTGATTTGCCTAGTTTTTTTTATTAGTATAGACATGAAGTGTATATACTCTTTAAATGCTATAAGTAGTAGAGTATATACTGTATCTGAAATTATAGACATAATTTGTTGTATGTTTTTTATTAGCTAAAATATACAATTTCATTTTGTCTGTAATACTTTCACTTATGCATTTTATCATGTTTGCTTTATTGTTTGTTTTATTTTTATTTTAAGAAAAAAGTTATGTATTTATTATTAAGGTATCTGGTTATTTGTATAATATAATAATATGCATATGAATTCATATAATTGAAATAGGTAAAACTTAATATTAGATTTATTTTAAGATTTTTAGACATATGATAATATATCATAAACCTGATGTTGTTGAAGAGATTTGTATAAACAGTAAATTAGTATAATAATAATTGTGTACTTGCATATGAGATATGTAAAGATTAATGATGTGCTGCATACAATACAGTATATAGAATTTTTTATAATATTCTAAAACAAATTATTAAAGTATCACTATCTCATATTTTTAATTATAAAACTGTCTTTTGTATTCTAACCAAAATAATTCTTGCATAATATCACAAATATCTGTTTTATAAATGCTACTTCTATTATATATATTATGTATACTATATGCACTATATAACTATATGTATTGTAGATACTATATATAAAAAAGTTTTAGATATTATATAGATGGCACATCTATAGAAAGATGCTTGATGAAAATATTTTTGAATTAACAAAAGGTTTCATTGATAATAAGGGTTTCATTGACCATTGATGATAAAAGTTTCATCATTTATCAAGCATCTTTATGTATATATATTTGATTAATGCATGATGAGATAATAATCTAGTCTTACAAGTTAAAGTAAGTTCTGTTAATTATAATTAAAGATCACATTCAAAGAAATAATTGAGGACACTATTAGTTTGTTAATTTAATTTTAGATATTCATGTAGCTAGGATTTGCTCTTAGATATGATCCTATAACTGAGCTGTATATAAGTTTGATTATATTTTATTATATATATAAATTTTTTTTTAAATTTTTTTTTAATAAATGCTTTAAAAAAAATGCCTTTTTTTTATTATAATTAGTATGCACCTTTTGATTATAAATGTTGATATCAAAGGCTATGCAGAATGTAATATTATATTATCATTATTAGGCCACTATAGTGTAGCTTGATTGTTAATTTCTTGATTTATTTCAGCTTTTTTGATTATTTAGCTTATGTAATGTGGCTTATACTTTATCTTTCTTAGTTATTCAGATTTCTCAGCTATTTAATTTGTTAAGCTTTCTTAGTTATTTTTATTTTCTCAATTCTAGGATCTCTTTGCTTTTTTTCATATCTTTTTTATTTATTCATTTCTTTTGTTGCTTCTTTTCACACTATTACTTTATTTGCCTATTTTTTATCTTTATTAACTTGTTTGTTAAATCTAGAGCTTTAAAAATAGTTGTATTTTAATTATTTTTGCTTTGTATTTTTGTTGGTTTAGATGTATAAAATGATTTTGTATAAATATACTGTAAACCTGATATGAAATAAAAACAATTTGAATGCAACTTTATAAAAAGCATTATTATGATTGATCTTTTTGTTATTAAAATCCATTATACTAATTATTTAATTGATGTTGCTATACTTTTTTTTTTTGTTGTTTATGCTTTTTTAGCTATCTATATAACAGAAATTCTATATATATACAATCTTTAATAAATGTGTCTTTGTCTTTTTAAAATGCTGTCATATGCTACTTTAATTGCTATCATAATTACCAAAAAAGATTCTAATTTGCTTACTTAAGACTTTGCTAGTTATCAAACTGATAAAGATGATTTTAAAATCATTTATTGGAAGTACTTCTATTCTTTTGAAAAAGTCTATACTGAAATTTCTGTAAGCAACATCATGATGTTTGCAAAAAAGTTTGTTGTTAAAAATTTAGAGCAGTATATTATTGTTTTTAGTATTAGCATAATTATAGTTAGTGGTTCAATTCAAAAATTTAGTGCTGATAAGATTCCACTTAGTGCATTATATTGTATGTTTCATGTTTTGGTCAAGCATAACCTTTAGTCAATCAGAGATTCTACTTATTTTGATACTAATTGCTTTCAGTACAAATTGTTTACTAATTCTAAGCATGTTTATATGAAGTTAAAAATTCTTTATTCTATGAATACACCTCAATTTACTTATATATATGTCAATAATAGCATCAAATTAGATTAAACATTTCTTGTGTCAGGTTTTGTTAAATGTATAAGTTCTGAAGTAATTGCAATAGAAGCCACAGATATTGATTTCATTTATATGTTTAATGCTGTTGTAAATCATAATATACAAGAAGTTTTTTAATAACTACTTTTAGTTATCATTAAGTTTTTAATAAGATTGTTGATAAATTGAATTTAGCATTTTACAAATGCCAAAAAAAGATGTTGTGTTGGCTAAGGTTTTTCGTAATATAGTCTTTATGCCTAATTTTAATTAACTGACTATGCCATCTTTAAGCTTATCTTCTGCTTGTACTAAAACAACTCAACTTCAAAAAGGCAAAAGGAGATTAACTGATCTGGCATTAGATTGTCTCAGATTAGACATTGTTAATAGTCAAGAAACTAATAATAAAAATAAGAATAATAAATCTAATGATAACCTGTAAGACTTTGAGAAACAAATTTTTAAAGAAAAGTTAAATAAAAAAAAAGAAAAAGTGTAAGAAAGTAATGAATTAAAGCATTGTAATAAATAAAAATTAGAATATTTTTATTTTAGTCATTTTGTTTTCTTTCTATTTTTTGTTATTATGCCTAATTTTTTTGTTGTATAAAGACATTAAAAATAGAAAATATTATAATTATTACAGAATTGTTGCAAAAATAGGTTAGATTATTATTTGCATTAAAATATTGCTCTAATTTTGTTTGCTTAATAGTTAAATAAAGTTATGATAATATGAGTATAGTAATAACTACTGATGCAGGTTGTTTAACTTTGAGTGTTGGTTTTGCAAGCATAATGATTTTACAAATCATATAATGTTTGTATATACTAATATATAAAAATTTACTAAAGTTTTAGAAAATGATGTGGTTATTAAATTATATTAAGAATTTTACAGTAAATAAGATGTATTTGAAAAATGCTAATTCTATTAAGCAAAAGGATATGTTGTAATATTTTAGATTATTTACATAATGAGATCTTATATTCAAATATGTTGTACAGTAATAATAGTTAAAAAAATTTTTAAATTAAAAAAAAGAGTTAAGATATCCCAAATTGTAGTATTACTTATCAGCTTAGGCTAGTTTTATGCAGAAGTTCAAATTGTAGTATGATGTTTATATGATTTATCAATTAAATTATATCAATGTTAAGATTGAATTATATTATTATATAATTGAATTGTAGTTAAATTTAATATGTTTAACTAAAAATAAATAATAAATATATTTATTATTTTGCTTTGATTTTATTTAAATATATTCTAGTAAAATCAATAAAACTTATCTTTGTTAGTGCTTGATTTTGTTTGCTGTTGCTTGTACTCATAAGTTAAACATAATGTTCATATATTAATAGGTTCAAAAGATTGTAACTCTGTTGTTCCACAATTCAAATTGGCATGTAATGTATGATAAGTAATCTTTTTAAAAAAGGCTGTTAGATTTGGCTAGTAAGTGATTAAGGCTTTTAGTTACTTTAATTTAATAAATACAAGTAGGGTAAATTATATAAACAAAAACTTGCACAAATAATGATATTTATTGGAGCTTACAGGATTTATATTAGGTATAGTGTTAGGGTTTTATTATGAATGATTACAATGTATTAGAACTTGTTAATTACTAAAGCAAATGAGACATGTTATCCCTTAGAACTATTTTGGCTTTTATTTATAATATTGAATTCATTGCTCACAAATGTGACTTATTTATTAAAACTAATTAAACTATTTACATATATTTATTTAATATCTGTTATTTTCTCTCTTTATTTCTTATCTACTCCTTTGAATCTGAAATAATATTTCTGATTTTAAATGTAACTTATTACACTTATTATATTTATAGTATTTATTGCACTTATTGCATTTCATATATTTTTTATATAATTGGTTACAATATTCGGTATTACAATTTCAGATATTACAATATCTTATGTCTATTGTATTATAAACTTGTAAATAAGCATTTTTTTTTTTTTTTTTAAATATTAATGGTGAGGTCATGTCTTTAACTTTATTAAAATTCAATTGAAATTTTTATAAAGAAAAACTTGCTTTTAAATTACATATGAAGAATAAAGACTCAGACATATAATCTGTGACCTAAACCTACAAAAATGACCAAGGCTCACCTAGATTTGGGTGTTAGTAATAATATATGAGAGAGGAGTATGATATTTAATCCATTAGATAGTCCAAAGATCAATTTTAGTAATAATTGTGATATTGAGATAGGAGATAATGGTAAGCTAGAAAAAGAATTATGAGTTGAGTTTGTAGAAGATGTAATTGAAGACTGTGCTGAACGTGAAATACAATATATATAAAAATTAAAAAAAATACAATAATTATCACTATTTACTATTCATAAACTTCATCCTATGTATGAATTCAGTCATTACACAAACTCCCCGCGCATGAGCAAGCGCATAACTTGTTTTTGTCATGTAATTAATGTCGGTTTTAAACTATTGGACTTTCATTATTTTGGTGCACAGTCACGTGCCAGTACATTATTAAATGTAAATATGTAATTTATGTAATGCCGACCTGCTGCACAACGTTGTTATCCGTGTAACAAATCATGTAGATCATTCGAATATATCGATTCTAATTGGTGCACCATAAAGTCTTTGTCAAAAAACAACGACCATCAAACAAAGGTTTATAAACTGACAATTGCACCAGCATCTCTTTAACGTTTAGCTGATCTTTTTTAAATTCAATGACTACTTGGGTCTGAACAGATCTAAAAAGGGAAATTAGTAAACCAAAAATCAGTAAGCGTAAATTATGTTATTCCCACACACTCGCAAAGCTAAGAACAGAAAAAAGGCGAAAATACAAGAAGCGAGTGTTTAACCTTGTCTTGAGATACTAAAAAATGATAGGATTGAAATTTTAAATATAGTAAGTTTAGTTCCAGTGTTCTTTTTTTGGATAGCACTTGCACAATTAATTATTAAATATTTTTCTGCATCTCACCTGGTACATTACAGCATTAAGGTGTGACAATACCCTCTGTCAGTCAATAACATGATTAATATAGTTAATATTAATTTTTTAGAACGATGTAATGACAAACAAATAGATCATAATACAGCTTGTTTATAAATACATGGTTTTCAATTTTGGTGTAAATTTTACGTAAAAGATAAAAATATTCGCTAACTTCTTCAATTTAGTAATCAGCGAAAGATGTCTCGGACATACGAGTTTCCACCCACATTAAATCCAATAGCTTATACTATAGTTATCCACGTTCCTTTCTTTGCATTTATTCTCTTATCTCTCAAGCCCGTAACTAGTAAACCCCTTACCTTTATACTTTGTATTATAACCGTTGTTCAAGCACTGATTCCCTTCATATATCATGGAAAATATGACCCACTAATGCACTTCAATACAGCAGTATTTGCAACGTTTTACTCTTTTAAAATGATGATATGGTTGAAAAAAAATTATCAATCTTCCGTTAATTCAAAAGTTAAAGTTCCTTCATTCATCGGTTCATTATGTAATTGGCGTCTTAAATCAGTAACTATTCCTGATGAATCGAAATATCAAAAATATATTGATTCAATCAAATTTTCAGATCTTAACCGAAAGATGATTAACAATACGATTAAACTTATTATAAAATCTTTACTTCTTGAACTTTTATCTGAATATTTAAAAAACAACGAACCAATAATTTCAAAAAGATCATATGGATTACGGGTTTTAGATTATCTTAGAACTGGTCATCCATTTATTGAAACATATACCTTCTTTTTTTGCATTCTTTATATAATTCGTGCAATTTTATTCTTTTCACAATCGTGGAATGTTTATTGTATCATCTATGGGATAATTTTAAGACCTTTGTTATCTAACGACATTGATAAAAATAAAGATAAAAACAGAAAACAACGAGAAGAATCAACATCTCTTAAAAAAATCATTAAAGAATGGTTAATTCTTTCAATATTCTATACAAAACCTTTAATAGGTCATCCTTATTTTTCAACGAGTCCTCGAGATCTATGGTCCAATCAATGGCATCAATTATATAACCAATTTTTTCAGGAATTTGGCTACCTTCCAATCAGAAATTATTTTAAACACAACGAAACGCTTGGACACGTACTTGGAATATGTTGTTCGTTTATGATAAGTGGTTTATTTCATGAATATTTAGCAATAGTGTCTTTTAGTTATTTTTCTATAGATTATATAACCTTTTTCTTATTTCATGGAATACTTTATGTTTTGTGGGAAATTGTTGGTAATATTTTAGGAAGAGGGAAGGATTTTAAAGATAGTTTTGGAATCAAAGTTTTTAAATTTTCTTTGTTTATGCCAATTGCGATCTTTATTTTGCCACTGTTTGTAGAACCTTATATTAAGGGACTATATATCGAATCGCATCTTAATATATACACTAATTTAACAAAGTGGTGGTCTAATTGGAAAACAATCTAACCTTTATTTTTATTTGTTATTATTATAAATAAAATTTATATTATGTATTCAATAGACAAACAGATAATATAGATTCAAATACACATCATTATCTGAAAATTTTTGTATTGTTGTAAAATATATATATATGGTATATATGGTATATATAATTTTATATATCACTTCAATGATTATTATTTTATTTGGTTTAAATTTTTTTCATTAATATTGCTCCAATTCAAGTCCGTTCGAAGTACCAGGAACGGAGTTTGTACAACGTAGAAAGTAGTGCATGGTTTATGTGAGAGTTAAATGGTATTTACACAATCTTGGATCTGATTGGATGATCAATCCTTGTGAATTTGGTGCAACAATGTTAAAAAAGGAAGCAACATATGATGAATAGATTTAATATAGCTTATACAAACCTATGTAGGCATCTTTCAGGTTAGAGTCATGCCTTGTTTTCTAATTGCTTTATTGCTATCGTATACATCGCATGATTTTCTATAAAAAAAAATTTGTTGATGTGATTAAATTGGATTTGATAAAATATAACAAGTACAAGTTATGTCTTGTTTTTTTGCTTATGCTAGGAGCGGAGTGCATTGATTTATAGTGAGTGATGTTTATTTTCCTTTGGCGATCTGTGCACCATACATCACATGTCTAGTGATGTGCTAATTATACGTATGATATCCAAAAATTTTTTGCATACAATATGTACATTGCGTATCTGGCGATTTGATTAGCTGATACGTATAAAGGTGAACTGTAGATATTTTGTACTTTATTTTCTTTTTGGATGTGCTGTATTGTAACTTAAATTTAGGTGTATTATATTATATATATTTGTAGTACATCTTTTTATATTATATAAGTATTGTACTGTAATGAATTAAAAATATATCAAATTTCTAGGTTGTTGGTTCACACATAATTGATCCATATCCAAACAAAATCAACTAATTCAAGTTAAAGTTGCTCAATTAATTAATATTACAATAATTTTTTGTACATTAGTTTGTGTAACTTCACATACATCAAATCCGATCAGCCAATCAAATCATGTAATTCTGATATGTCAAAAAAATTAATATGATTATGAAAATTATATAAGCAAAAAACATTTAAAAATCTAAATAAAGATATGGAATTATGATTTTTTTTAGAGATTGTTAAACAGTTAAATTTACAGTATAACTACATTAGTTCTAACAATTTAACATATTTATATTTTAATATATATAAATAATTTTTGTGATTGCAAATGTTTTGTGAGATATTGATCAAAGATTGAAATTAAATTATTAGATTATATGCAAAATAATGTAATTAATTGTAAGTCAGAATGTATTTATAAATAAATAAAAAAAGTATTATCTATTTTGTAGAATTACATATTATTCATTGCTGTATTATCAATATTATGAAACCCTTTATATTTACTAAAACTCTTATAAATATTTTTGTTATTAAATTAGAATGCAATATTGAAATATTTACTAAAGTTGCTATTGATAAAAATGTTATAAGATTATAATATATCTTTAAAAATTGTATAGATAATAGTGCTATAAAGCTAGAATATATTTTTATAAATTTGAAGAATGTTCAATAATAGAAAAATATGTTGTACAAATAAAAACTGTTATAATTTTAAGCAAAACAGCAAGAAATTCAAATAATAGCAGCTATTATCAAATATATTTCAAATATAAAAACAGAAAAAATATAATAGAATAAATATTATATATAGTTTAAAACAAACTAAGTATTTTTTTATACTTAGTATAAATTATTATAAACAGTTACAATAATTTGGTATAACTACATATTATTTGGTATATAATTATAAGTTTTGCTTAAATGTTATAAAATTTAGCATTCTTGTATACAAGTTTGATAAGAATAATCTTGGTTTAATAAAAAAAAACTTTATACTAACAAGCTTAAAACAAAAAATATTTATTCAATATTAGTTTAACTTAGCTTTAAATATATTTACAAACCTAATATATATAATACAGTAAATTGTCAGTATTAGCATAAGCTTCAAGGTTTAAATGAAATTAAAATGCTCTTTAAAACTTTATATAATAATAAAAATATCTTAAAATATGTTATATTAAAAAATATATATAGTACTAAATAAGAACAAAATGAAATTTAATCAAGAAATTTTTGGATATAATGTAATATATTTCTAAAGTTTACTATAATACAAGACATTTTAATTGTAAATACAATATATAAAACAAACAAGTTTCTATATCATTAATATTTATTTGTAATATTAATCATTTTAGATTTATTTATTTATTAGTATTCATGCTTGTTTATTCTAAGATAAAAGACTATTACTATTAGATTATGCAATAATTAAATAAGGCATTAGTCAAGTTCACAGGTAATTAGAAATAGAATTTATAATATATTACTTATTATCATTTTTAATTTTAGTTTTAACAAGGCTACTAAAGATATATATGTTATAAAGTTTAAAATTAATTTCTAAAATAGTATATTGTTCAAAAATTAGTTCTATATTAGACATATAACTGCTAAAAATAGACTAATTGTAATTTAAATTATTAATAAAGATATAAGCAAAACTTTACCTTAATACCAAAAAAATCTAATTGTAATAATTAATAATAATAATAATTAATAATTGGCAATTGTTAATTTTAACCAATGGTGATTTTACCAGATTACACAATATGTAATATTTACTTTTGTGTAACATACTTGTGTAGTAATATTTTTTATATAATGTTACTCTTATGTAATATTTTTCTTATGAAACATTACTCTTGTATAACATTTTTCATATAACATTCTTTAATATAATATTTTTCATAACATTCTTTTATATAATATTTTTATATAATATTCTTTCATATAGCATTTTTTATATAACATTATACATATTAATATACTGTATAATATTATAGAATTCAATAAACAAAGGCTAAATAGTTAAAAAATATTATCACTCTAACTTTAACATTATTCAACCAACTAACTAATATAAACCCATAACTCTAACTAACAACTAACTAACCAACTTACTTTAACTTATACTAATATAAAGTTGTATAGCATTAATTATATTTTAACTTATACTAACATAAAGTTGTATAGCATTAAACATATTTAACTTATACTAATATAAAGTTGTATAGTATTAAATATTCAAATATAAAGTTGTATAGCATTAAACATATTTAAATATAAAGTTGTATAGCATTAAATTATTAAAGTTGAATTTTTATTATATATTGAAAGCTATATACATTGAAAACTATCTACAATGTTTAATTTTTATATGTTGCTCTATTGTGCCTCTTTTTTTCACAGTTTTGACATGTTTTACATGTATCTTTTTTCTTAATTTTTCTATTAGCAGTTCTAGGTTTGTTAAATATTTGATTATTATTTATTGGTTGTAAATAATAATGCTTTTTTGTCTAATTATCTTGAAGTTCAACTGTGCTTTTAGCTCTTCTGGGTGGCCTTCTTTTTTAAGGTATAATTACTGAGTTTTTAATATTAAACTCATATCTCTTTAAAATTCTTGCTATTTCTATTTATTTAATATAAAACTTTGATATATACCTATTAGTTCATCATAGAAATTTGTTACTATTGCTAAATCTAAAATCTTTAAAAATATATTCTGTGCATGATCATATTTTTGTTTAATACTATTAATTTTTGTAACACTGATATATAAACATTCAGAATACAAGCTTCTTTAATTATCTGAAATTACTTATATAATTGTTGATATTTTAATTAGAATCAACACATAATGTAATAAGTTGTTGCCAAATGTTGTTATTATATTCAATTAAATCATCATTGTACCATTGACTTGTAATAAGACCTATATGCCATTTGGCTTGAAAAAAGCAATATAATATTTTATAAAAATACCTATATAGATAACTATGTGTAATAAGAAGATTAAAAATATATATATGAGATCCATCTGCTATAAGTATAATATATTGACTTTTAATCCTATCAAACATTACTAGTTTCCAAACTTCTATAATTTGTATATGTCTAACTGTTTCAACTATATCATTCAGATGATTTTTTATAACCTTATAATTATCCTTATGCATTCCTTCACTATAATCTGTATCTAATGGTTTCTGCAATATAGACTCAAGATCTATATTGCTAATTCTTATACAATTATAAAAAAAACACTCTTGCATTTGCTTACAAATATTAAAAACTATTACTAATATAAGATATTGTGATATAATTGCTTTAATTGAATTAAAAAATGTTTTAGATATTGTTACAAGCCCAATTATAAGAATCTCATCTTTATATTTTTTTAATCTCATAAAGTCAGATTTTTTATCAAGTAGGTCTTGAATTTCTTTAACTAATTCTAACAGAAATGAGTTAGACTTAACACAACTATAAATTTTATAATTAAGATTTTCTACATGTTAGATGCTATTAGCACTTGCAGTAAATTGTTTATTTATATAGCATATAGCCCATTTTGTCTTTGATGGATCTAATTGGCATTTTATATAACTTTCTGCTAAAACATATTTGGATTTTAAAGCTTCCCAATAACTTTCAAATAACTCTATGACTAAAGTATTTCTATATATAAAAAAGTCTTTACAGAATTTCATAAATTTACTTGAATTAAGCTTATTTCTTAAATTCTTTTTTATGTTGAAATCAATATAAAATAAACACAAGCAATAAACAGAAATTGGAAATTCTGAACATATTGCACTAGCCATTGCTAAATCAGAGTTTGTAAATATTACTTGTGATATGAGATCTTCTGTATATTTATTAATTATTTTCAATATTCAAATAAAACTATCTTCAATTTCATCTTCAAGCAGAGCAGATGCAACTAGTTATGATTGGTTACAATTATCAATAACAACAAAAAAGCATGCAACCATATTATATTTATTAGTGCAGGATGTAGTATTAAAAAATACAATGTTATGAAATCTGGTTCACAAATA